AGCATTGTGGGAAATGTCTGTAAAATGAGAACCATGACCGAAAGCAACAGTCTGCAAGGATGTATACCTTTCTCAGTCTTTATCTGGGAGGGGTGCTTTCGGATTGATCACTGTGTTGTGATTCATTAACAGCCATACCTTCTGCTGTTCAAGATAATGATGACTGGTAGATAATTAGTTATTAGTGGTAATGCATTTTAATTTTAGAAAGCACAATTCTGCTTATGAATTAAACAAATTAGTAAAACCACTGAAGCGCAAATGAAATATTTAGGTCTGCAATTAGCAAATTTGCGCTTATGTAGACTGGTGCCCACCATTGGTAGTTTGGTTTTAGTATTTTCATCTTTTAATTTGTGTAGGTTGGGGTGGGAGGACTGTCCAGTCCTGGTCCTGGAGGACCATCCTGCAGGATTTAGAGGTTCCTCTGCTCCAACACACCTGAGCTAAATGAATGTTTGATGGTCAGGCTTCTGCAGAACTTGAATAATTCAATCACTAAATCAGGTGTGTTGGAGCAGAGAACAAAGTCAGACATGTAGGATAGAGACCCCCCTGGACCAGGACTGGACACCTCTGGTCTGTTTGAAGGCAGTTGGCCTGTGGACCATCTCCAGGTTGGATAGAAGAGTGGTCTACCACGCTTAATGCATGAGAAGAAGAAGGAAAAGAACAAACTGGACTCTCACCATGGCTGAGATGACCCGCACCACATTAACTGGGTCTCCCCAACCAGAGCTGGGAGTTTTGCTGTTTTCCATCAGAAAGAGACATGCAGCAAAAACCTCATCATTGAACTGAAAACAAAAGAGAGAAGCAGAGCTGTTGTCAGTTTCTGTAGGGTTTTCCTACCAAACACTGAGGAGATACAGTAGTACTGAGGTCCAACCTGTCCATAGTTCCACGTYCTCGCTCCGATCTGGTTCTCTGTGCCGTAGTAGATCCTTCCAACATCATTCAGGACGTACTCCTGCCTCTCCTCATCAGAGTCCAGGAAGACTGGATCATCTGGAAGATGAAAGAAAAGTMTTTTTAATTCAATTCAATTCACAAAAATTTATTCATTTCATTAAAAACAAAATAACTATGTAGAATAG